CCACACCCCCCCCCCCCCGCCCAAAAAAAAAAGAAAGAAAGAAAAAGATTTCTGGGATTCACATTTCAGACCAGGCATACTCAGGGCGTATAAGGCCATCCAGCCATAATTTGACTAGGTACTTGCAGCAGCACGCTAGAAGATGGGATTTAGAAACAGAAAAATGATGGTATCCAAAATCTACACTTTCACCCTCCCTTGGCGCTAAAGAAACTAGATATTCTATGAAGCATTTGATGACATGGCAATACCTTCTAAATTTTTCTACCTCTCTTCTCACTCTTTTGGTATTCAAGAAACCCTAAAACAATAAGACATTTTGAAGCTCCTTCTCAAACTATCCATGACATTCACCACATGGAGTCAGAAAATATGTTTCGGAAATTAGCTGGAGTGGCATGCAGTGCTCCACAGGATATGGAGTCATATTCCCTTATTTTTCCTGATTTTATTCCTAAAACAAGTACAACCCATGAACCTAGGTCAAATTCTTTGTCCCCCTCTTCAAATTCAGTCTACCGGACACACCCAGTCAAAGAAGTTCCCATTACCATTACATAGGTTGTTTACGAAACGATGCATATTAAGAATTTTTGATGTAACTTCCAATGTCAGAAAACAATACATACAATTAGATAAAAGATGGAAAATGGATTCCTATTTCTGAGGGAATGATTTAAAATACTGAATGCACTATTGTCTTAAATTCCCAAATATTACGTAGTGTAATCGAAGATTTCTCGATGCATAGAAGACGAGAGATTGTTGTTTTTACTCCTAAATATTGTGCAGTATTTGTTGAAATCCCTTCATTGGCAGTAGGATGGATCGAGGAATATTTGAGGAACCTTTTATAGAGAGACCAAGGCCGAGCTTAGAAAAAGGGCTAAACCATCTGAAATCTGATTAGACAAGGAAAGTTTGCTAGAGGGAAGTATTTGTGGCTAGGAATTATGAATTTCAACGAAATGAACAATTGAACGAGACCTCTTTGAAAGTAGTGATCGAAATAGGAAATAAAGACAAATCAAGGATGGATAGATATGGTTGGTTACTTCTCTATGTTTGCCGGTTAAAAAAGGGAAGAAGAAAAACATGCCTTCTATGCCATGCTTCTAGAAAACAGACTTGAGAGTGAAAAAACAACTTACTTGGAGCATGGTTAACAATCAGGAGTGTATGAAGCAGGCATTTTCTAAGAAACATGTGCTATAAGTTCTGTGGTCATTATGATTTAACATGACATCACAATAATGCGGTGACTATGTAATGCATAAGCAACATGTGGAGACCTTTATCTAAAGCCATTCTAGAATAACAAAAATAATAATAAGTTCTTTTAGTATTAGCAACACTTAATCGCATATCATAACTGGTTTTGTTATCTGCAAAGCTATACAAGAGATATCTAACACGAGAAACGAGTCTGGCAATTGCATTATCTCTGGCCCCAATGACCATCTGCTACTATTATGCTTGCTGCGTAGAGGAAATTTAATATCAAATCCATGCAAGATTTCACAAAGACTTCCTTTGCTAGATTTTGATCGGTAATTCACTATAGGTAGGTTGGAGAGAAGTTTTCTCAAAAACAAATAGCCGATGAATGTGATAAGTGGAAAGCTGTGACTACTAAGGTATTGTGAGAGGACATATTTTTTTAACAGTAAAAGAAAAGCATCGTAGAGATGAAGTTCAAATTAAAAGAAATTCTAAAAGAAATTACACAAAAGTACCATAAATTTTGGCCGTATTTGAACTCAATGCCAATACATTTATGGTGGTCCAACTAATACCATGCTCCCATTTGATGACCAGTACCACGTTGACAACATATTTTAAACACTAACGATAAAGTGGTAATGATGGTGGAGCATAAGGTCATAAGCATGGAGGGTGAGGAACTGGGAGGGGAGACGATGATGACGGTACACAGGGTCAAGAGGATTGGTGATGGTATTGGTGAAAGAGGAGTTGGCAAGAGATGAGGAGGTGATGAAGGTGGGAACTAAGGAGAATTTGGTGGTGGGGGTGGTGATAGTAGTAATGGAGGTAGAGAAGGTGGCGATGATTGAAGAAGGAGAAGAGATGATGGTTGGATAAAGATTCATGATGGTGGAGGCAGTGGATTGAAGGGAACCGGTCATGATGGTGAAAATAAAGTAGGGCCTTTTGTGGTCTTACAGGTGATAGAAGAGATGAAGGAGGCAAAGAAATCGATAGGAAAGAAAAGGGTGATTAGGGATTGGGAGCATACTGACTGTCAAGGAATATAGGAGGAGAGGAAGAAATTTGGTAGAGGAGAAAATGGTGACCATGGTGAAAATGGAGAAGGTAAAGAGGGTGAAAGAATAAAAGTCGATGAAAAGGGAGGTATGGAGAGGGATAAAGACAAAATTGACGGCGGAGGAAAACAATTAAAAGCATAAATATTTAATAACTATGCAATTGACAGTGGAGGAAAAGGCATGCGAAAAATTAAATTTTAATTTTAAATCAATCCCAATTAGCTAGAAATTGTGTCACTGATTACAACTAAAATTCCTTTAACATGTACAAAGACAAATTTAGGTGAAAGTTGTAGAGCTAAGAAAATTTCGGTCCATTCTCATCATGTGCAAAATATGCTATGTACCATGTGCGAAAATGGATGAATATAATGGAACTATGGAAGGTGTCAATATACAAGCATACAAACTCGATGATTGCAACTTGAACCAAAACAAGCTTACTGATATTCAGTTAACAGGTGTACTAAAGTTGCTATATCTTCTTCTTAGAGAGAGCATGAAATTGTTGAGGCCTTGAGAGCAAAGGCAAAGAACAATTTTTGGAAAGGAGCTCCCTTTGTACTTCATTTTGCTCTTCCTTTGTACTTCATTTTGCTATAATACACTATCATTTTATCAAGCGCTAACAGAGATTGCAATGGATATTGCTTCATTTCCATCAATGATACAAAGGGAATCTATTTATAACACCTTCTAGCTAAATTTAATCGCAGAAATGATCTAATAACTTCCAATAGAAAGATCGCATACCGAATTCAGCCCAAAACCAACGTAAAAAACCGCAGAAAATACCAAATTTTTAA